TTGTTTTCAAAGACAAATCAGATTGTTATTAAAATTCTCCAATGGCTTCCCAATGCAGCCTCAGGATTAAATTCAGGCCCTACTAACACCATCTGGTCCTTGGCTCTATCTGCAGTTTCATCTCTTTCATTTCCTTATTCCTCTTCTCCAGACGCAGAAGCCTTTTGTTGCTCCTTCATTCTCTCCCCATGTTCTTTGCCCTTGCTGTGCCCTCTGTGTGTCCTCTGGATACGTGTGATATGTGTTTGTCTTGCCCCCCATTTCATTCAGGTTTCTGTTCAAATGATGTCTCTAACCACCCTCTGTAAAATAGCACCCGCCTCCCACTTTTCTACTTTCTGACCTGTCACCCTGCACTACTTTTCTTTTGGGAAAACTCTTGCACAATTACTAATTTTCTTAAAAGTATTTATTAATACTTGAAACTATACGCATTTTTTAATAGTCTTTCTTCATCACAGAGGCAAGAATTCACAAAAGCAGGGATTTTGTTTTGTTTGTAAATAAAGTACCTGGCACATATTAGTTGCTCAATAAATATCAGCCGACAGATTAAGTCATGATTATGCTCAAAGTTCAAGGAAGTTTGAAACTGACCTGAGCCGGGCGCGGTGGCTCAAGCCTGTAATCCCAGCACTTTGGGAGGCCGAGATGGGCGGATCACGAGGTCAGGAGATCGAGACCATCCTGGCTAACACGGTGAAACCCGTCTCTACTAAAAATACAAAAAACTAGCCGGCGCGGTGGCGGCGCCTGTAGTCCCAGCTACTCACGAGGCTGAGCAGGAGAATGGCGTGAACCCGGGAGGCGGAGCTTGCAGTGAGCTGAGATCGGCCACTGCACTCCAGCCTGGCGGCAGAGCGAGACTCCGTCTCAAAAAAAAAAAAAAAAAAAAAAAAAAAAAAAAAAGAAACTGACCTGGAGGTCAGGGATAGTATGGTTAAACTACATGAAAGAGATGGCTGCTGGATGTTTTCTTTTTTTTTTTTTTTTTTTTTTGAGACGGAGTCTTGCTCTGCCGCCCAGGCTGGGGTGCAGTGGCCGGATCTCAGCTCACTGCAAGCTCCGCCTCCCAGGTTTACGCCATTCTCCTGCCTCAGCCTCCCGAGTAGCTGGGACTACAGGCGCCCGCCACCTCACCCGGCTACTTTTTTGTATTTTTTAGTAGAGACGGGGTTTCACCGTGTTAGCCAGGATGGTCTCGATCTCCTGACCTCGTGATCCGCCCGTCTCGGCCTCCCGTGGGGACAGACCAAACCCTGCCTACCAAGTAGGCTTTTATTGACTCAGCCTCTTTGGGATTTAGCAAATAATGTATTTTAATGTTGGACATACTTAAACTAAAAAGTCATTCATGGTTTATCTGAAATTCTAATTTAACTATGTATCCTGTATTTCATTTAGTAATCTTATTTGAGAGCCCTGAGCCCTTATACCCTTTGGCTGAGTAAACCCCATGCTTCACCAGAAAACAGCTTACCTCAAGAAATTTGTATGAATACTCACTCTCTATCCTCTTCTTATCTTTCACCTAATTTTCAATTTTGTGTCTTACAATTTAGTTTTTCAATTCTAAATTTTGTTTCTTCTCACTATTCTTTAAGATTACTATAGTAGATGGTTGTACAAATACACCTGGGCCCCACCCTTGTAGTACCCTCTGCCTACACTGTCTTTGGTTTGGGCCCTGTGACTTGCTTTGGGTAATGTGAGGCAAGCAGAAGTTCGATAAGAATGTGCACACTGGGGCATGACCTCTGGGAATTGCTTTCCCATCACGTCTAGCCTCCTTGGGAATGAAAGACTTTATGAAAAGAGAGGTTTGGCATCTTGACTGAATGGCAGGCATAAATGAGCCTAGGCAAAGCCAGCCAGAGATGGGGGGGGTGGGGGGGTGGGGGATGGGGGGTGGGGGTGGGGGGATGTTTCGTTCTTGTTGTCAAGGCTGAGGTGCAAGGGCAGTCTTGGCTCACTGCAACCTCTGCCTTCCAGGTTGAAGCGATTCTCCTGCCTCAGCCTCCCAAGCAGCTGGGATTACAGGTATGTGTCACCTCGCCTGGCTATTTTTGTATTTTTAGTAGAGACGGGGTTGAAACCCCCACTTGCTGGCCAGGTTAGTCTTGAACTCCTGACCTCAGGTGATCCGCCCGCCTTGGCCTCCCAAAGTGCTGGGATTACAGGCGTGAAGCCACCACGTCCGGCCTTAGTTTTGCTTTCCATATTTTTAACCATTTATTTATTTGAGACGGAATTTTGCTCTTGTTGCCCAGGCTGGAGTGCAATGGCACGATCTCGGCTCACTGCAATCTCTGCCTCCTGGGTTCGAGCGATTCTCCTACCTCAGCCTCCCAAGTAGCTGGGATTACAAGCATGTGCCACCATGCCTGGCTAATTTTTTTTTGTTGTTGTTCCTGTATTTTTAGTTGAGATGGGTTTTCACCATGCTGGCTACGCTTGTCTGGAAGTCCTGACTTCAAGTGATCCACCCGCCTCGGCCTCCCAAAATGGTGGGATTACAGGTGTGAGCCACTGTGCCCGGACATTTTCAACCTTTTATAAAACTATCTAGCCAGGGCAACATAATAACAAAAAAATAAAAAACAGCCAGGCCAGCTGACGTGTGCCTGTAGTTCTAGCTACTGTAATCCTTGCTCCTGTACTCCTCCTTGGGGAGTTCGAGGCTACAGTGAGCCAGCATCATGCCGCTGCTCTCTAGCGTGGGCAACAGAGCCAGATCCCATCTCAAAAAATACATATATTGTTTCTAAATTGGACTTTTCCTCTCCCACTTCTCTTTCTTTAGAGGGCAATTCTAATTTTCATTGAGGAACTAAGCTGGGATTTGTCATGAGGCCTACAGACTGCAGTTAAAATAACTACTTTATTAGAGGCCTCAGCTTCTCTATTTTATTATTTTTAAAATTTTTTATTCTTTTTGTAAAAAATGGAATGCTTTGGTCGGGCACGGTGGGTCACACCTGTCATCCCAGCCCTTTGGGAGACTTGAGGCGAATGGATCGCCTGAGGTCAGGAGTTCAAGACCAGCCTCACCAACATGGTGAAACCCCGTCTCTACTAAAAATACAAAAATTAGCCGGGTATGGCGGCGGGCGCCTTTAATCTCAGCTCCTCGGGAGGCTGAGGCAGGAGAGTTGCTTGAACCCAGGAGGCGGAGGTTGCAGTGAGCCAAGATTGCGCCACTGCACTCCAGCCTGGGCGACAAGAGCGAGACTTTGTCTCAAAAAAAAAAAAAAAAAAAAAAAAAGAATGCTTCACAAATTTGCCTGTCATCCTTGTGCAAAGGCCGTGCTAATCTTCTCTGCATTGTTCCAGTTTTAGTGTAAGTGCTTGCCGAAGGGAGCACAGCTCTGTCCATTTTATTTCATGTTTCTTGGGCTCACTGCCCCATTATGGTGTAAGCCCTTCGATGGTGGAGCTTCTTCTGTCTGTTTACTGTTGGATCACCAGCACCTAGAACTCTGCCTGGCACATAGTGGGTACCCAATAAATATTTCCGGTATGTTGGATGAATGAATTGCCTCTCTCCTTTCTTGTCTCCAAAGTTGGTATCCACCAGTATACCACCCTGTGAAAACAGCAGAGGTGACTGCATTTTAGAGGCCTTGCAGAGGACTTATTAAACACTTACTGTGGGATTCTATCCCCATAACTTCTTAATTTGCTTATTTATATTTTTAAAATCAACAAATAAAGATATATATATATTTATGATGTACGAAATGATGTTTTGTTCTATGTGTACATTGTGGGAAGGCTAAATCAAGCTAATTAACATATCCATTACATCACATACTTATCTTTTTCTTTTTGTGGCGAGAACATTTAAAATCCACTCTCTTAGCAATTTTCAAGTATTCAATAACGTTGTTATTAACTGTAGTCACCATGTTGGACATAGCACAACTTCTGAATTGGTAGGCCTGGGAAGAACAGAATTTGCCTCTAATTGATTCCCTGGAGATGGGAATTTAATGCTTAATTTAAGGGATTAAGCATTGTATTCGATCAATTGAACTCACGATGAAACTATTATAGATGTCTAAGAAAGCTGTTTCTAATGTCCACAGAAGCAAAATGACTTATCTAAGATTCTCCAGGTAGTTAGTGACCAGTTCTAGTGCTGTCTGAAATTCGTATTCAGGTCCCCTGACTTCCAGTCAGTGATATTCCGACCCATGGCATCCTGACTGCTAACCCTTGCTAAGAACATTTGAAGTGGGTCACCTCTGACCTTTGTTTATGTTTAGAAAAGTTGTGCTAGAGGCCTTCTATCAAGTACGCGCTGCACCGGGTTTAGTAAAATACATAAGCTACTCCCCATTTTTGTTGCTGTTGTTTTTGCTTCGGCGTTTTAAAGTTTTTATTACAGTATAACATCCACACCGAAAAGTACACAAATCCTCCATAAACTCCGACCGAGAGGCAAGACAAGCCAGCCTACCCACGCTCCCCGCCCCCTCCACCCGCCCCGCCAACAGTAACCACGTGCTGGGAGATTTGCAGCAGAACGCAAAGAGGAGGGACCAGCGAGCACCTTGTTCCAGCAAAAAACTGGAGTAAGCCTAAAACTTCCTGGGAGTTCAGTGTAAATTTAAGCCAGGTAGTCTAGCAATGTCGAGTTCAACAGGATTGCCATTATTTTAACTAGAATTCAGTTGAGAGTAGGGCGCGATCGGGCGATCGCCGTCTTCCGCTGTAGTCACTCGGCCCTGAGCTTGCTCACGCCCGCCCCTCGCTCCGCCCCGCCCCGCTGCTCCCCGCCCCGCCCGCCGCCGCCCTCCCCGCGCAGCCTGCGAGCGACTCGGCGTTCCCTCGGGAGGCGCCGCTCTGTGGCCCAGACAACCAGTCCTATGCAGTGCTTCAACTCCGGATCGCCGTCCGAGGCAGTTCGTGGAGTGGCGGCTTACCTTTTAACCCAGTAATGCCCATATCTTGAGAAAAAGAGAAACAAGGGGGTGGGCAGGGGTGGGGACTGAGGGGGCAGGGGGAGGAGGAACGAATAGGGTTTAGATAGACACAGAAATGAGTGCTGAGCAGACGGTACAACACGGCAGTCAGGATGGCCGAGCGGTCTAAGGCGCTGCGTTCAGGTCGCAGTCTCCCCTGGAGGCGTGGGTTCGAATCCCACTCCTGACAGGTGCTAGTTTTAGTTTTTCGAGTATAAGTGTACGGTAAGTTTTCCTACCTGCTCTTTTAAAATATAAATTTTCCGAGTTCCGGAATAAAAGCGCTTTGTTTTTATTAGCCACTGCAAGGATAGCAAAAAGTACTCTGTACTCACAAAATAATTTCAGAACCTACTGGTGTTTTGAAATCTCACGTCCTTTCCCTGTTTCTCCTCTGTCTCTAGTTGTCTTTCCCTCTCCCTCCTTCACATGCAGAGTTGAATGAATGTTACTCTTCAGTTCATGGCTCATTATCATTACTGTAGGGCTCTTCTTTATTTAGTTATAGATTTCTTTTTAATTCCCTTTCCTCAGTCTCATTCCCCACCTCATCCTGACTCCCCATAAGAAATCACTGCAAGAGTTCCGGTCCGGCAGAGAGCGCGGAGAGACGCTGAGCGCGGCCCCGCTCCTCCTGGGCATCCCAGGCCCTCCGGCCCCGGGTCGGCGGGTGAGCTAGGGGACCCCGAGACAGGCCGCGCCCTCTGCCCTGCAGATACGGGAGGCCTCTGCTGTGACTGGGCCCAGGCCTTGAAGCGGCGTTGAACCTCTCTTCTCCACCCTACCTCGGTGACTGATGGCGGCGTTGGCCTCTCCCAGCCCGTACCCCGCCGGCCGTCGGGTCTCCCGGCCCAAGCGTGCCGGGCGTGGCGGCGGGAGTGCCGGGCCGGGAAGCATGCCGGCCGCTCGAACGCTGCGCGGCGGAGGCCGTTAAGGCGTGGAGGGCCCGGGAAGGCGGCCTAGGGACGCAGGCAGGCTCGGCCGCCTCTTTAGGCCACGGAACCGCCAGATCTGGGTCCCGGGTGACCTCTCTGTCGCCGTTGGGCGAGACCTACCTAGTCCTGACGACAACGGACAAAGGCCTTAACGGGCCTGCGAGGTGAGCTAAGTCCCGAACGACAACGGGTGGAACGGTTAGCGGATATCGGGCGGTTGGTCTTCGTACTACCAGACCTCGCTGTCGGAAGAGAGAAATGGTAGAATGACAGGCCACGTTTGGCCCATTGGAAATGCCCACCACCCTCTGGGAAGATTTACTGGCCGTTATGGAAGGCCTGTGTATATAATATGAAAAAGCTGCTCTCAACTCCACCCTAACCTTTTAATAGAAAACATTTGTCACATCTAGCCCTTCTAGATGGAAAGAGGTTGCGGACGTATGATAGAGTTAGAAAGTCACACATCTTGTAAATTCTCATTTATTTAAAAGAAATCGTAGAAAATACATGTCTTCTGGAAATGACTTTTGGAAATGGAGTTGTTAGACGGCCTCTGGAAGCGATACGTCCACGTTTGTTCAGTGGGTTAGATGACATGGAGCTGGAAGACCCGAAAAGGAAGAAAAGAAGGTTCTATGCTAGACTGGTCATATTTAGAAGATATTTTCGTATTCTATCCAGTATTTTGTGTGCATTTTATTCCTCACTACTGTGTATATAGTTGACAATGCTAAGCTTTTTGAAATGTCTATTCTTTTTAGATATTCTGAAGTGTCTGATATATGTTAGAATTAGAGGTAGTAAAATCACATTTTGTAAATATCTTTTTGTTACAATTCATAGAAATGTTGTTTTTTGGGGGAATGGCCAAATCACCTCTTGAGTAATACTCATTGTGTTTGTGCAGTGGTTCAGGGGAACAGAGAGGAGGGGAGGTGCAGAGAGCTGTATGCCATCCTACTTACAGTGAGGCAGGATGAATCACTATGTCTGTGCATTTTGTTTTACTTATCTGTGTGTATAGTATACATAAAGGACAAATGAGTCCTAATTTACAACATCTAGTCTTTCTGGATGTTAAAGAGGTTGCCAGTGTATGACAAAAGTAGAGTTTGTAAACTAATATATTTTGTACATTTTGTTTTACAAGTCCTAGGAAAGATTGTCTTATGAAAATTTGAGCATTCTTGCCCACTGGGTTGATGGAGATAGGAAGGGTTATTGGCCAGAATGTTCACATTTGGAAGACTCTTTCATATTATAACTGTTGTTACATGTTTGCAGTTTATTCAAGACTGCTGTGTACATAGTGGACAAATTAACTCCTTACTTGAAACATCTAGTCTATCTAGATGTTTAGAAGTGCCTGGTGTATGTTAAATGTAGAGGCAGTAAAATACCACTTTGTAAATATCTTTTTGCTAAAATTCACAGGAAATGCTTTTGGAAATTGAATTGCGAAGCCACCTTTGTAAGCAGTATAGTACTGTCTATACTTGTTCAATGGTTTAGAGGAGGTGGGAGGGAAGAAATTGCAAAAGATAATATGCTGGTGTGTTCATACTTGGACATTTTCAGACACCATTTTTCTGTATGTTTTGTGTGTTTTGTTTTGCTGTGTATATAGTGTATATAATGGACAAATAGTCCTAATGTTTCAACATCTAGTCTCTTGGTGTTAAAGAGGTTGCCAGTGTATGACAAAGTAGTAAAATTAGCATATTTTGTATACTTTGTGTTGAAATTCATAGGGAAACTTGTCTTCTGTAATTGACTTTTGCATAGGAATTTGTTCAACAATCTTTAAGCATTACACGTGCCTGTACTTGTCCACTGGATTGAAGGCAGAGAAGGAAGAGTAGAGGGAAGGATTCAAGGCCGAAATGGTCACATTTAGAAGATAGCTCAGATGATAACCATTGTTATGTGTGTGCAGTTTTATTTAACAGTGCTGTGTACGTGGTAGACAAGTTATGAAATGTCTAGCCGGGCGCGGTGGCTCAAGCCTGTAATCCCAGCACTTTGGGAGGCCGAGACGGGCGGATCACGAGGTCAGGAGTTCGAGACCATCCTGGCTAACACGGTGAACCCGTCTCTACTAAAAATACAAAAAACTAGCCGGGCGAGGTGGCGGGCGCTGTAGTCCGGCTACTCGGGGCTGAGGCAGGAGAATGGCGTAAAAACCCGGGAGGCAGAGCTTGCAGTGAGCTGAGATCCGGCCACTGCACTCCAGCCTGGGCGACACAGCGAGACTCCGTCTCAAAAAAAAAAAAAAAAAAAAGAAATGTCTAGTCTTTAGATATTTGGAAGTGCTTGATGTATTTTAAAGTAGTATTAGAATAACACTTTTTGTAAATAGCTTTTAAAAACTGATGGGAAATGCTGTTTGGAAGTGGAATTGTTGAACCACGTGGGAGGTGGGAGGGAAGAAATTGCAAAAGGTTTTGCCATTGTTTATTAGAACATTTCAGCTTAATCCATTGCCTATATGTTACATGCATTTCATTTAACTTTGCTATACTGTATATATTGTGTATATACTGGACAAATGAGTACTGATTTTATAATATCTGGTCTGTAGCTATTAAATAGGTTGCCAATGTATGACAAAAGTAGAGTTAGTAAACGCATTTTGTACATTTTGTTAAAATTCATAGAGAGGCTGTCTTCTAAAAAGGACTTTTGGAAGTGAAATAACGTCAGCTTGAAGTGACACATGTGCCTATATCCACCAGTTTGGTGGTGGAGAGGAGTTGGAAGGAATGAAGGGTTCTAGACCAGAATGTTCCTATTTAGGAAACACTTTCACATATAACCATTGTTACATGTGTGTAGTTTATTCCGTAGTGCTATGTATATAGTGGACAAACTTAAGTCCTTATTTGAAACATCTCGTCTTGCTAGATGTTTAGAAGTGCACAAAGTATGTTAAAAGTAGATGTAGTAAATAACACATTTTGTAGTTATCCTTTTGATATGAAATATTGTCTTGGAAATTGAACAATTCTCTGAGAAGTACACATTATGATATTTGTGCTGGTTCAGGGTAAAGGAGGAGCACAAAGTACAAAGGGCTTTCTACTGGTGTCCAGTGTGTTTATGATGAGGCATATTGACCATTGTCCCTTAAGTCTGCATTTTTATTTACTGTGCTGTGTATATAAGCAGACGTAGGAGTCCTAATTTACATTTAGTCGATGTTAAAGATGTTGCCAGTGTATGACAAAAGTAAAGTTAGTAAACGAATACATTGAGTACACTTTGTGTTAAAATTCATAGGGAACATTTCTTAAAAACAGAAGTGAAATTGTTAAAATCCCCCCTAAGCATTACAGATGGCTTATAGCTGTCAACAGGGTTGGTAGAGGTCAGAAAGGGAAGGGTTCTAGGCCAGAATATTCCTATTTAGAAGATACTCAAATTATAGTCTATGTTATGTATATATACCATTTATTCAATGCTACTGTATATATAATGGAAAACTTCAGTGCAGTTTGAAACACCTAGCCTTTCTAGGTGTTTAAAAGTGCACAACAGCCAGGTGCAGTGGCTCACACCTGTAATCCTGGCACTTTGGGAGGCCTAGGCAGGCGGATCACAAAGTCAAGGGATTGAGACCATCCTGGCCAACACGGTGAAACCCCATCTCTACAAAAATTAGCTGGTCATGGTAGCGCGTGCCTGTAGTCCCAGCTACCTGGGAGGCTGAGGCAGGAGAATCGCTTGAACCCGGGAGGCAGAGGTTGCAGTGGGCGGAGATCATGCCACTGTATTATCCAGCCTGGCAACAGAGCAAGACTCTGTCTCAAAACAAAACAAAAAAAAAACGGTGCACAACATGGGTTAAAAGTAGAGGGTTAAAGTAACACGCCTCTAAGCATTTGTTTTCAGTACTTCTAGGAGTGGTTGCATTTGGGAATGGAACTGTTAAAACTTGATGCTTAGGAGTGTATGCTGACTATTCATTGGGTAGTGAAGTAGAGGAGGGGAGGAGGTATGCAGGGAGAAGGGTTCTGTGCCCCTGAGTTAGATTAGTTCAGATAGTCTAACCATTGTTCTATATGTGCATTTTAGTTAATATTGTGTATTAAAGGATAAACAACTCTTAATGCTCAAAGTATGTTAAAAATAGTTGTAGTGAATCCGTCCCTTTGGGAATGTCCTTCTGTTAGTTTTTAGGAAAGCCTGTCTTCTGGGAGTGACCTTTATTAGTCCACCTCTTGGAGCCAGACGTCCTAAACTTAGTTACTGGGGATGGTGGAAGAGGGAGAAGAGGAAGGGTGAAGGGAAGGGCTCTTTGCTAGTATCTCCATATCTAGAAGATGGTTTTAGATGATAACCACAGGTCTACATGAGTATTTTTAGTAAAGTGCCTGTGTTTATTGTGGACAAAGTTTATTATTTTGCAACATCTAACCTTTATGAATGTCTGAGGTGACAACATATGATAAAAACTAGAGCTAGTGGGCCGGGTACGGTGGCTCACGCCTGTAATCCCAACACTTTGGGAGGCCGAGGCAGGTGGATCACAAGGCTAAGAGATCAAGAACATCCTGGCCAACGTGCCGAAACCCCGTCTCTACTAAAAATACAAAAATTAGCTGGGCGTGGTGGCGCGCACCTGTGGTCCCCGCTACTCAGAAGGCTGAGGCAGGAGAATCGCTTGAACCTGGGAGGCGGATGTTGCAATGAGCCGAGATCGCGCCACTGCACTCCAGCCTGGGCAACAGAGTGAGACTCCATCTCAAAAAAAAAAAAAAAACAAAAACTAGAGCTAGTGAATTAGCCAATTTGTAAACACCTTTGTTATAATTGATAGAAAAGATGCATCTTGGACATGGAATTGTTAAACCACCTCTGAGCAGTATATTTCAGGACTTGTTCATTAGGTTGGCAGCAGAGGGGCAGAAGGAAGTATACAGGGAGAGAGAGATGTATGCAGATGTGTCCATATGTGTCCTTATTTACATTTTGATGATAGCCATTGATGTATGCATCTCTTTTGGCTGTACTATAGGAATACATTAAGTAAGTTAATGGAAATATACCTTGCTTATATTATAATGGTATAGCTCTGCTAATGAATTCTCTTAGAAACATTATATTTAGTGTATTCTGTTGCTGTATGTTTCATTTTAAATTGAGCATTAAGGGAATGCAGCATTTAAATCAGAACTCTGCCAATGCTTTTATCTAGAGGCATGTTTTTATCTAGAGGCATTTTTGTCTTCTATGAAATTTTTGTCCCAAGACAGGCAGGATTACATTTTTTTTTTTAACAGATTGAGTTGGTGTAGTGTATTCTTGGTTATCAAAATACTCGCATAGCTTTGGGATTTTGAAAAATATTCATGATGTGTGAAAAATCATGATACATACTGCACGATCTCAGTCCCCTAAGATTGGATGTTGTGCCTACACACGCAAAGGACCTAGAAGAACATGTCAAACAATAAACTGTTTGTGATTGTGAATGACTTTGTTCTTTGCTTCTTGTGGTTTTCAGTTTCCTATAATGCACATATTAACATATTAACTTTTAAAAATACAGGTTGTTTTAAAAGCCTGTTTAAAAGAAAAAAGAAATCACTGGAAAAGGCATCCTTTTCTTTGTATATGCTTTTGTAGAACAGTTATGATTGGTTTGGGTGAATGTGTTTTTAATTTACATAAGTGGTACTGTGTCATAGATCTCTTTCTTATTCCATTAGTACTGCAGTTTTGAGTTATGTTGCTGTGTGTACATCTAAACCAATTATTTTAATTGCTGCATAGAGGTCTGCAATGTGAAGTCACCTACTCTCCCACTTTACCACTACAAATAAGGGTTCCATCAATGAACATCTTCGTACATTTCAATTATGAGGCTGTGTAAGATTTTCCTTGAGATACAGCAGGAACACATTGCAGGTCATGAGATCTGACAATCTACTAATTTTGCAGTTCAGAACAGGACCTGGGACCCAGGGAGCATGATGTAGACACACAGAAGTTCATGTTTAATGACATCTCCAGAAATATTCCTCAAATTCAAGTTTCCTGATGTTCAGCCTGATTATCTTGAGCATTAATAGCTACCATTAGAAACATGAATAGGCAATGTTTCTATTTTGAGCTCATAATTTACTGCAAAGCTTCAATCAAAAACCTCAGATGACTGGAATTTTCTCTTCATCATTCCTTTTTAAAAAAGAAATTCAATCTGATTACCAAGTTACCAAAGCAGAATATAGAGTGAATCTGTTTTATGATCATTGATATTCAAAATTTTTCTGCTAAAATTTCTCTCCTAAAACTCTCAAAATTCACAAAAAGATTCAAGCATGCACTAAAAGAAAAATGAATTGATATGTGTTAGAAAGATCATCATCAACAAGGCTAGAAAAGAATAAAGTTCCCTCTTATTGCCCAAGTATTCACTCCACATATTCACTCCATTTCTGCCTACCCTGACATTCTGATCAAACATGGCTTTGAATCCCTCCTTCAGAGGTGGCAACATAAGACAAAGGAAGAAATGGCAAATAGGTGTACCACCTAGGGTAGCAGAAAAAACACTTAAAGGTGCTTGGAAGGCCAGCAGATTAGTCGAATTCAATTCAGGCTGCCTAGGCCCATCTCTGGATGCTGCCGCTTGTCGCCTACTTACCTTCCAGGAAAGTGACTTTGCATCCTTGTGCCTCAGTGCCCTTCTCTTTAAAACAGAGGAAATAATTGCACCTTTCCTTA